TAATAGACTTGCATCCCTATAAACAAATTGACAATTGGATCCAAATGTCTTAACACTATTTTGAGTTTATTTTGGTTCTCTGCTTAGTTAGCAGAATACACATTGTGACACTGTCTATTGATAACATCATGCAGAAACATATATACATACATACATAGGTATATCTATACATAAATCAAATAATTTTAACATAAAAAAATAATAATAAAAATAATAAGTAATTCATTTATTACATAAATTATTTATGTTAGCAATATATATGTTTGTTTTTTTATAACTAAATCCAAAGTCAATTCTTTTTTCATATTTATTAATTAATTAATTTAACTTTTTTTATTGTTTAATAATTTTAATATTTATTTTTCAATTTAATAATGTTTAAAAAAGTTTTTTTCTTTTTAAGTTAGGGAAGAACTCGAACTTTAGAACAATAACAGTGAAGTAATATATTGACCAAATGCAGAAAACGTTTAAAACGAAAAAGGGAAAGACCCTTTTTTTAAAGCAGTAGTATTTTTAAAGAAATATGATAGAAATTATTAGAAGCAGAAAGTTCACTATTGGACGCTAGACTGAAAGAAAACACATCAGAGATTTTGATATAATTTTTCAATTAAAATGTTTTTAGAATAAATTTTAATGGATTTGTGTTCAAAAATATATTGTTAATGGCAAAGTTGATAATCTATGTTAATGAAATCCAATTTGATACTAAATAAAAGTACTGCTGGTCTTTCTTTGACCACAATTTGTTGCATTATACCTAGGCAAGATTAAGGTGCTACACCTTAAACTTTGACTTAAATTTTTATTTAACCTTAGCTTAATTTAAGGTCTGATTTTGTAATCAGGGATTTTTAGAAATAACTGACTAAAATATTTTAGCAATTTATTCTTTATTGATTCTTTACCAATAGTTGACTAAAAGATAATCATAGTTTATTCCTAAAAAGTAGTTTAAGTGGATTAAAGTTTCATCATACGGTTTTTGATATTTTCCTTCTTTTGAAAAACATAAAACAATAGAGCTATTTTGAATTCCGTCAGATGTTGACATCTATTGAAAAGTATCTTAATAGTATTAATTTATGATGATTTTATCAATTTTTTAAAAAAGGGTTTTATTTTTTTAATATATTGTAGTAAGTTTCTATCTACTAAAGAATTTGATAACAAATTTTGTAAGTTAAATAGTATTTTTATATTATTATTATGTTGAAGCTGTTTTGAGCTAGTGCACTTAAGCACTTATACTCTTTCTTAACTCGAGGTATTTTAAAAACCCCTCTTTAGATCTTGATTAGATTATTGTTTATCACTTCATCAGACTAAGCAATAATTGACTTCAGATCTGCATATCTCCCCGAGGACCCTGTAACCATTTTGATATAATTTTATAAATAATATAATATTATATACTATGAGCAATCATAGTTTTAGTTTGTTTAAATTTAGGCTCTAAAGTACAAATAATAGGAGCGTTATTAGTATATATCAATTTTGTTTTGGTAATGCTTATCGACAAGCACTAAGGATTTACATGCATTTCCTTTGTTCAAATGTAGGCTCTAAAGTACGTATAAAAGGAGCGTCTTTAGCAAATATGAATTTCGGTTTCGCAATGCAGACCGATCATAAGCATGTCATATGCATATATAATGTTGTGAGCGTTTTTGATTCCATATTGTCGTCTTTGATGTTATGTTGTTGTGATGTCTGTTGTTATATTTCCGTGCCAGCCATTGAACTCGTTTTTCTTATCCTCAGGATAAATTGTATGAAACTATTGAATATAACTTTCCATTTTCAAATGTAAAATAATTAAATTATTATATGTGCTATGACGCATATATTAATGCAAGTGAATGAAATAGATTGACTTCCCATATATTTTTCTTAATGATTTAAATATCATAAATAGAAACAAACTTCCCTTTTTCAAATGTATACTATATCGAATAATCTTTTTTTTAAAATAAAACAAATAAATTTGAATTCATAATTTTCTTTTATTTTTATTTTTGGTTTTCTTTTCATTTTTAATTGTTTTAAAAACATAATTTTTCATACAGGTATACAAAAATAAACTTAAAGTTTAAAATAACATATAATTTATTTTTAATTATATTAAAAAAAACAAGTTACTTCGAAACAAAAAGCTAACATAACAAAAACTTCATTTATCTTCTTGTTTCATAAATCAGCAGTTACAATTTCTTTACATTCATTTTGTGTTATTAATTTAAACATTTTATTTTTTTTAAAAAATATATCATAAAATGTTATTAACTAAATAAGTTGCCTTTCAATATTGTACAATCCAATTTAAGGTCATTTTGCAACTCGCAACTCGTTACTCGCCACTCGTACGAGTAATGAAATTATTGCGTGAAAATTTTAATATAAAATTTTGCTAAGTGTAAGCTGTGAATTACTTAAGTTTACTTCCTCATTTTTTTTTTTTTTTGGTTTTAGTTTTTTTTTTATATTTTATCAGTGAAAGTCTCAAGCAAGTGCAACTGTTGCACTCGCTTCCCGCACTCGTACTCGTACTTATAATCGAACGAGTACGCTGCGGGTTCTTTAATATGTAAATTATGTTTTGCAATATTTTTAAGCTGATATTCTACTTAAAATTTAAATTCTTTAATTAGCTTTTAATTTTAAAACAATTTTTTTTTCTCTTCCAAACAATCTTTTTTTAACATTTTTCGTTTTCAACAATTTTATTTAAATTAAAATTTTAACTTAAATGTAAGCTTGTGATAGATAGTCTTACATACATACATAAGTTTTGGAATACTTGCAACTTGAATATTCCCGTTAATTGTTAAGTATTAAGTAGATAACTTAAATTAGGGTTACTCCATTATTATCCAAAATTTGTTTGTTATTATATCAACATTCAGCAAATGTCGGCATTATCCAGACACCGTGGACGTATTTCATTATTTTTAAACCATTTTTACCCTCTCAGTAGGGATTTTGTTCAAAATTGCTTACTGCACACACACACACACACAAATTCACACGTTTGGTAGCTCAACAATGGGATGCTGTGGTGAATCCCAAAATGCTTCACAATAGTCAACTAATAGATTTTCTGATTTGTTGAGTTGTTCTTCGTGCTGATCATCACCAGACCAGCTTTTCTGTACAAGACAGCATGATTCCATATCTGTTTTACCCAAGATGCGGCTTAATTTGGCTGCGCTGTCGACTTTGATGACGTAAATGTCGTTCTCATAGCAGAAGGCTTCGAGTAGCACCTCATGCATGTGCATGGCAGAGTCACCGTCTTCTGGTACAGCCATCAAACAGAAGAGTGAACCTTCGGGTGCATTCGATAAGACTTTAATGGCTGCACTGAGCCCCACAATGACACGGGATTCAGCTTGGGCTTTCAGCAATGCTGACTTGACTGTGCGTCCAATTTTTGAGTAATCCATGACGGCGTTGTCAATGTTTTCTTTATTGGAAATACTGTGGTATTGAGTTTCTTCTACGACCATTTTGTGTTCACTAGTAAAGGCAAAGTGTTGCTCGTATGGAGGAATTTTCAGGCTTTTATATTGCACTGTTGTAAGGTAGGCAGCTATATCCGCTGAGGTTTGTGTAGGTTTTTGTAAACTTATAAAGTTTGTGATTTTAACACGGCTTTCTTCAGAAAGTTTCAATTTCTTTAAATTCTTTGAATTCTTCAAATTTTTCAAATTCTTCAAATTGTTCAAATTTTTTGTATGCAAAATGTCTTTTGTGTAAATTTTTTTTCTTAACACTTCTTTTTGATTGTTTTTGTTTCTTTGCTGTGTAAATTTAATCCACTGCGTTTTGTTTATGATTTGCCGGTAGTTTTTCGCGATTTTCCGCTAAACTTAAATTTTCTTGATTTGTTATGAAATTCTTTCCGTAACTTTTTCACTTGAGATTTCTTAGCGCGTTTTATCCGCTGCGTTTGCTTCGGCTTGTTTCAATTTTGATTTTTAATTTCACAATGAATAACCACACTGAAGAGCGTTCGCTTTTATAGGGTGGCTCTCCGCCACGCTTCGTTCGCCATTGAATTTCATAAGAAATTATAAGCTTTCACATGTATTCGTGCTCAGCGCATTGCCACAAAAGCTTACTCAATTCAATAATTTTTCTCTTATTTCTGGCGGAGGTGACAGATAAGAAACTCATTTTTTTGTGTTTAAATGGGAATTCGTGAGAATTGCTGTGAGGTTGGCTGTGAGGTTGGCTATTTGCATGAGTTTGTGTGAACTTGTGTGGCTTGTGTTTGTTTTTGTATTTTTGAATTCAATTGAAAATTCCCCAATAAAAAAATTTACAAGAACTAATAGAGATACGTATAGCAAAATAGTCAGAGGAAGAAGATGAAAAAAACAAAAACACAGAGCAAAAAAAGCACAGAGTAAAATACAATACAGACTAATTAAAAAAAAAAAACACAGAGTAGAAAAAAAAACAGAATTAAAAAGCCAATGGCTTGGCGCGTAAAAACCGACTCAGCTTTTCTTTTCCGTTTCTGTGAATTTTTAATGTTTGTTTTTGTTTTTATTTGTTTGATTCGCACTGCTAAGATTAATTTTTATGAACTGAACTACATATTTGCTAATTATTGTTTATTAATTAATTAGAATAATCAATAATAAACAGAATTTATGTTATCACATTCAACTCCTCTTATTTATTTATTTACTGTTTATAAAATTTAAACTCTTAAGATTAATTTTTATTATTTATTTACACGGAATTTTGCACAAAAGTGCATGCACCGACTTGACTTACCTTTTATGGGAATTTATTTATTTTTATTAATTTCATTCTATTTTTTTTTGCTTGCTGATATGTGTTAACTGATTTTTTAGCTGCTCTTTCAGTTGATTTATTTCTTAAGAGAATTTTTGGTAACTGTTAATAAAATTAATTAAGTTTTTTACTCTCTTTTAACTTTTTTTTTTTGAGGCTATAAAAATTGATTAACGTAATAAGAAGAGTACGTTTTAGCATGCAAGTAGTTTCATGAAAATACTGGCGTTAATATTAAGTAATTAAAATAAATTAATATATTAAATACTAAATATTTATTTTATCAAATAAATTAAATAATTAATAATAGATACATTTAATTAATTTTGTTTTCCAAAAATTGACACATGAGCACAAACTCAAATAGGTTATGTTAGGTTTTTTTTGAAGTGGTTAAGTACGGTCGAATCCTTTTACCCACTAAAACCAGCTCTTAGAAACTAATTGAGAAGATCTCAGCCAACAAATTGTAAAGGACCTCTAACTAAAATCGCATTTCAGTAATCGAAGAATTTGAAAATTAAAGGTGCAGAAGAACGTGATTCCTGTCGGCTCTGTCATGAGAAGAAAGAAACATCAGAACATATCCTATGCAATTGCCCAGTGGCGGCAAGACGTAGACTCGACTACCTTGAAAGTAGTTACGACTTAAGCCCACAGCAATTACGAGATTTATTAATAGTCTAGAATTGTTTTAGTTGAGCCTTTAGACGCACAATAGATCTTTTAGTTCTGAGTGCATTCAAAGCCTATTATTAAAAAATATTAATTTGGAAATTTGAATTTTTTTTAAAGGAACGTAGAGAGAAGCGTTTGGACCCAAGTGCCTATTTTGAAAACAGGATACATTCTGTTAATTCAGCTAATATCGCTATTCACGAGCCATGTCTTACGATAAACTTACGTAAGAGGATATGGCATTAAATGCTCAGTTCTGTGATGAGTATGGCCTTCGATGATGCTACATGGACAAATTTGGTATTAAATGATCTTTTATTCGATCACTTTCGAAATTTTTTAAGTTGTCTTTGAGACTCACTACTATAGAGTGCATATTTATTGGTTAAGTTAAAGAATTTTGTGCGACAGCTTTCACTTAAACTGTCTATGACTCTCTAGTGTTACTAGAATTAAAGGTCACTTTCTCTAATCATTAAGAGTTCTATGTAGTGAGCCTAAATTTATGGTACAATTTTTGATAGTTATGCAGGATTCTCGAAAAAGAGTTTTCTAATTCCAGTTAAGATCCTTGCTTAGAAAAAACATTTGATTAATTAGTGCGAGTTGTGTTATAATTCTTCTTCACCAGTTTATAGATAATGAAAAGCATATGATTCAGTTGAGAGAGACATTATAATTCTACTTCACCCTCTTTATAGAGACCGAGGAAATTGTCGGTTAGAAATTCAAATTTTCGGATTTTCGACTGAAGTTTTCTTTTTCTAGTAGATTTGCTTTGACTATATATCGGTTAATATTGAAAATAAATATCAGTTATAAAAGTCTATGTAATATTTAATCGTATGAACTTGCAAAAAAAATTTATTTATTATATATGATAATGATAAAATAATTAATATTCTTAACACGTTTTACATACATACGTGTATATAATGAGTAAAAGGTATAAAATAAATTTTTAATATTCTTAGCATAACTTTAAAAATATTTTATTAAAAATTTGTTTTTTTCTTAAGACTTAATTTGTGATTCTCATATAATAATTTAGGGATTTTTCGTTTAAAATTTTTATTCACGGGTAAGTACAACAATAAAAATTGCAAAAAAATGTGTGACAATTAAAAAATTGTTACTCTTTTTATTTATTTAAATTATTAATATTATGTGTACTAATAAAATACAACTTTTTATACATTGGTGAGTACCCGTTTTAATATTGTGCAACAAAAGAATGTTTTTTAAATTATTGTAAGAAAATTCTATAATTTAAACAGATGCGTAATATTACGGGTACTTTCTTTACACACATAGTTTACACTTGAAAAAATAAAGGGAAACACTATGTTCTAATAATAAAACGGAAAAATATAACGTCTTTGTTTTATTAAACATTGATATAGAAGTTTTTGTAGTTTGTTCTATAATAGATAAAAAAATATAAAATATATACATATGTATATATATAAAATGAAATAATAATATATATATAATAGTTGATAATTTTCTGCATGTTTCAAATTGGAGAGCAATTTTCGCCTGGTACTTGATATCTAAAAATTAAATATGGCTAATTATACGATTAAATAATTCAAAAGGCCATTGATAATAGATATTTGGTAATGTATGAAACCCTTAAAAAGAATTCACTTGGTTGAAAAGTAAATTTTGGATATAAATTTTCCTTACTACTGCCACATTTTCGATTTTAAAATAGATTTATATATTTATGGACTTAAAAAGGATTAATAGAAGTGAGTAAAGTAAACTTATTTTTTAAGCTTTATATGAAATGGCAAATGGTTTTCAAAGGATAGTACCAAGAGTAAACAACATTTAGTGTTACTTGATGCTCCTAGGCAACTTTGGAAGTATCACAATGTCCTTACCTATCCTAATAAAACTCTACTCCAAAATTATATTCACATTTAAGTGTATTCATTATATTCATGGGACTCATAGTCACTTTTAAGAAGGGACTTCTTCAGTTAGACCACAACTCGTTTATTATAGTAAAATAATGCTAATATAATAATGTAATTTAGTATATATGTATATTGATTATTTATGTTGCTTTTGTACTTCTCAGGAATCTTTAGAAATGGGAACTTACATTTTTTAAAGTTTTATATAAATGTATTAATTTGGTAATAAAATAATATATTGCACTTTATATGCTTAATCTTATCAAACAAGCAAACGTACAAAATACATTTATCTTATCTTATTTACATGTATCTTATATGTATTTATATATTTACACAGTGTGACGTATATATGTATGTTAGAATCTGTGCTACAATAACCTATTCTGATTCATGGAGAGCTTTATGCGAATAAAATTTAAATCTATTAAATTTCGTCCAATCATACGAATTCGTAGAACGCTCTTTGTACATAGGTTCTAATACTTTATATTATAGAGTATAGTTATAGAACAAGTTACAATGTGTATATCATGTTTGGAGATGTTGCCCAAATATTCCTATAGTCTCTGCTATTTCTAGTCGAACATCTATGGGTAACTATACTTAGGTAATTTAATTAATATATTACTAATGTTAGATATTTGATAGTAATCGCAAATAGCTATTTGATCTGTCCAAAACATATATTATTTATAGATATTCTAATTATATTTTATTTATGTTCACCTTGACAACTATTAATTTCATTGAATTAAGTTCATGAGTAACAATTCTTTTTTATTTTTACGAACAATTATCATTTTAAATATAACAGATAATAAATCAATTTTTTTTAATATATTCTCAAGAAAGATAGATAATAAAACCAATTTATTATATGTTTTCATTCAATTTTCGGGAAATATACCCAGTCCACTTTCTTGGACACTTGTTTTCTTATGAATTGTGATAGTCGCACGCTTCTCTGTACCAGCTGTGAAATCATCATGTCTTCGATCACATATGAGTGAGTCCCTTGCTTTATTTTGGCCGCTATCCAAATTGATAATATAAATTAATTATTTTTTAATTTTTTTATTTTCGAGAATAAAACAACTTTTCACTTTTCTTTGGCCTATTTCTGATTTTATTTTCAAGAACGTTTTGTCTACCAAGAAACGATGAAAATTTGACGTCAGTCAAAATGACTTTTTATTTTATAGGAAAAACCATTATCAATCTTGTTTCTTGAGTACATCGAGATGGGGTCTTAATGGTTGTCGTGAAAATTATCTTATGCGT